TGGAAAAATCCCTATTAGGTTGCATTATACTGGTTTACATGGAAAAATCTCTATTAAGTTGCATTATACTGGTTTACATGGAAAAATCCCTATTAGGTTGCATTATACTGGTTTACACGTACAAATCCCTATTAAGTTGCTTTATACTGGTTTACATGTAAAAAACCCCTATTAGGTTACATTATAGTGGTTTACATGTAAAAATCCTTATTAAGTTGCATCATACTGGTTTACATGGAAAAAATCCCTATTAAGTTGCATTGTACTGGTTTACATGGAAAAATCCCTATTAAGTTGCATTATACTGGTTTACATGTAAAAACCCTATTAAGTTGCATTATACTGGTTTACATGAAAAAAAACCCTATTAAGTTGCATTATACTGGTTTACATGGAAAAATCCCTATTAAGTTGCATAATACTGGTTTACATGGAAAAATCCCCATTAAGTTGCATTATACTGGTTTACATGAAAAAAACCCTATTAAGTTGCATTATACTGGTTTACATGGAAAAATCCCTATTAAGTTGCATTGTACTGGTTTACATGGAAAAATCCCTATTAAGTTGCATTATACTGGTTTACATGGAAAAAACCCTATTAAGTTCCATTATACTGGTTTACATGTAAAAAAAACCCTATTAAGTTGCATTATACTGGTTGACATGGAAAAATCCCCATTAAGTTGCATTATACTGGTTTACATGAAAAAAACCCTATTAAGTTGCATAATACTGGTTTACATGGAAAAATCCCCATTAAGTTGCATTATACTGGTTTACATGAAAAAAACCCTATTAAGTTGCATTATACTGGTTTACATGGAAAAATCCCTATTAAGTTGCATTGTACTGGTTTACATGAAAAAAACCCTATTAAGTTGCATTATACTGGTTTACATGAAAAATCCCCATTAAGTTGCATTATACTGGTTTACATGGAAAAATCCCTATTAAGTTGCATTATACTGGTTTACATGAAAAAACCCCTATTAAGTTGCATTATACTGGTTTACATGAAAAAACCCCATTAAGTTGCATTATACTGGTTTACATGGAAAAATCCCTATTAAGTTGCATAATACTGGTTTACATGGAAAAATCCCCATTAAGTTGCATTATACTGGTTTACATGAAAAAAACCCTATTAAGTTGCATTATACTGGTTTACATGGAAAAATCCCTATTAAGTTGCATTGTACTGGTTTACATGAAAAAAACCCTATTAAGTTGCATTATACTGGTTTACATGAAAAATCCCCATTAAGTTGCATTATACTGGTTTACATGGAAAAATCCCTATTAAGTTGCATTATACTGGTTTACATGAAAAAAACCCTATTAAGTTGCATTATACTGGTTTACATGAAAAAACCCCATTAAGTTGCATTATACTGGTTTACATGGAAAAATCCCTATTAAGTTGCATTATACTGGTTTACATGGAAAAATCCCTATTAGGTTGCATGATTACACTGAAGTCCTTGAAACTGTTGAAACCTTGAAACTGTTGAAACCTTGAAACTGTTGAAGTCCTTGAAACTGTTGAAGTCCTTGAAACTGTTGAAACCTTGAAACTGTTGAAACCTTGAAACTGTTGAAACCTTGAAATTGTTGAAACCTTGAAACTGTTGAAACCTTGAAACTGTTGAAGTCCTTGAAACTGCTGAAGTCCTTGAAACTGTTGAAGTCCTTGAAACTGTTGAAGTCCTTGAAACTCTTGAAATCTTGAAACTGCTGAAGTCCTTGAAACTGTTGAATCCTTGAAACTGTTGAATCCTTGAAACTGTTGAATCATTGAAACTGTAGAAATGTCTGAAAGAGCTGAAGTCCTATTAAAATGCATGGGCCTATTAAAATGCATTGCAGAATTCTCAATGCAAATTAATGGCAGAATTCCCAAGCCCGTAGAAAAAAACTGGAAAACTGCAGAACTCTAATTGATTGACTGCGGAACCTTCCGCAGTCAACCATTGGTTTTGGTGTTCTTTATTCCGTCTTTTTCCTGATTTTTGACACGTTTCACAGCTTTCACATTTTCAACAATTTCCACAAGTTATACATCAAAACGTTCCACATGTTTGGGAGATTATTGCTATTACTTTTGGGACTTCAGCGATTTCCGGTTTTTCCGCAATCGGACAAAAATCGGTCGATTTTTCCCATTGACTTATAATGGGGCTTCCACAAATTCATAGTTTTCAGAATTTTCTTCAACATTTTCAGCATTTTCTGCAGTTTGTGCATGTTCAGCTTCCACAACTTGTGAGTTTTCAGAAAAAATTAGAGTTCTGCAGTTTTCCAGTTTTTTTCTACGGGCTTGGGAATTCTGCCATTAATTTGCATTGAGAATTCTGCAATGCATTTTAATAGGCCCATGCATTTTAATAGGACTTATAGGGCTCTTTCAGACATTTCTACAGTTTCAATGATTCAACAGTTTCAAGGATTTCAACAGTT